TATATATATATATATGTATATATATATATATATATATATATATATATATATAATGAATTCCGTTGTGTAGTACAAGCGAATTGTGAACTGTACAACAGTGTGAATTCATCTACTCGATCCTAGATGGAATCTGGGTTATGCTATTGTGTATATAGCAATAAGAATTTACAGTCTGATAAACTGCTCGGTGGTCAAGTCGATAGTAGGCTCGGGCTTGATCTTCATTTGGTTTCATATATTCGCACCACAACTGATCAGACCAAACCAGGTTAAATTAGCTGTACAGTGACACGAGACGAAATTTTATCGATCGCAATTCTGGATTGTTGGCTCACGTTCTTTTTTTATACGGGAAAAAATGTTTTCCACATGTAGGAACACAGCTGGAAGACATTTTCACATTTTAGTAACAAGGATTGCTCTGACATGGTTTGATGCTTATCCCATATTGTTACACTGCTTCCATTAAGTGAACTTTGCTTCGGCAACGTGTGGTAGTGTGCTATTTATCCTCAATCGTCGCAAACTGCTATTCTGATTGATTCTGATTCAAATCAATGACCTTTTACTATTCTCCATCAAATCGCTTTGAAGTCGTACAATAAAAGTTGCAACTTAATTGGCTTGGTTCTGGTTTCCTCTGATTGAGCTTCTTCTGGGTCTCCTATTCCAATATATGATTAACCGAGGTAGTAGTTCCTTTACAGTTAGATACTGTGGCTAAATTTTTACACCATGATGTTATACCAAATCAGTCAGTTTTTATCATTCTATTTAAATAATGCAAATATTTGTTCAAACAAGATACTTCACTCGGTTGGACCATCGTGTTCTTCGCCTCGGTATTGAAGGCAATGCGGTTTATAGGATCTCTGTAGCATGAATTTCAAAATTTGAATCTTTTTTTTTGAAATTTCGAAATATGCCCATACTCGCATTAGAACACAATTTCAGGCGAAAAATTGTTTTCAATAACTCATAATCAAGCCGTTACAGTTTATATGAGGGGAAAAATCCTAGGGGTTGGAAGGAGAACAATAAAATGTGAGGAATCGTTCACTTCGTGTATGTGTGTCTGCGTTTGTACGTGTGTTGCACACCACATTCTCATATCTCAGACACAGACACGCATACACGAAGTGAACGATTCCTCACATTTTATTGTTCTCCTTCCAACCCCTAGGATTTTTCCCCTCATATAAACCGTAACGGCATGATTACGAGTTATTGAAAACAATTGTTCGCCTGAAGTTGTATTCTTTTCTTTTGGTTGGCATTCCTTGTGTACTGAGTTTTCCACAGGAGATCTCTTTCAAACACAAGCATTGCTCTTGTAAGTTCTTGTTCAAACTAGGTAACAAACGATGCAACAGGGTTGATCGACAATGGTAGATGGGTGGAAGTTGTTTATTGGAAGCTCTGATGGCTTACCGTCATTCGAAACATGGAGGGCATTCAACCAGGTGGTTCGCTGGTTCGTCACGTGATTAGGGGTTTGAATTATTCAATAGTCAATGGATGTTGGTGAATAATCTCACATCAGTCAGTGGGTGGCAGCTCGTGGCCAAGACTATTTACTAAAGAGATGAAAAAAACCATCATAGAAAATGGCATCATCTTTTGAGAAAATACGCAGAAAGAGTCAAGTTATGAATCAAAATAAAGATGCAAATGAGGACCAGGAACATGACTTGGCGGAGGATGATCAAGTGCTTACTGTACGAAATTTCATAAGTCTAAGTTCTCTACTTCCGGACCCAGTTGAATGGGAGATTATTTGTCAACGCCAGAGGATGGAACGAATCCGATTTCTCGTAGGAGTCAGCATAACTTATCTCGTTTTATGGGTTGCGCATGCCCCGATAGCAATTTGGAAAACGTGGTCTTTGGAACACAACGCTGAACTTAAACGATTGTTGTCCGATCGTCCTGGACTGGGCCAACCTCTCCCGCCGAATTGTATTAAGACGAAATGCGCTGCTCTCTGTCCAGAGGCATCGGACACACAGGGATGGTACACGCTTTTTGGGATTCCATACGCCACACTGCCGCAACAGAGCTCCTACTTCTCTGCGGCCACTTATCCCTACACATTTAAAGAATGTTACCTAGCCTATTGGCATGGTGTTGCCAAAGAAAAAAGAAGATTTATTGACGGACAAATCCGGTTTATCGGACGTGAGGCGAACGACGATGAGTCCGAGTGTGCACAGATGAAAACCAAAAAGGGAATCTCGGTCCCGGTCGGTAAACCTCAATCTTGTTTGACTCTAAGTTTTCACTATCCCTGGTTTAGCAAAAGTCATGGCGGTGGAAAACGACAACGAGGCATGCCGATTGTGGCCTATATTGGTGGCACCTATCTGATGAATCATCGACCACGATTACCGTCTGCAAAAATGGTTTCCGAACTACGGGTATTGTATGTAGCCATTAGTTATCGATTGGGTGTGTTTGGGTTTTCGGATTTTGGAGTTGAAGGAGCTGGACCAAATCACGGTTTGTCGGATGTTCGTGAGGCATTGTCATGGATCCAGGAGCACGCGCACCACTTCGGTGGAGATCGATCTCGGGTGATGCTTTATGGCGAGAACAGCGGGGCCACGCTTGCGGCAGCTCTACTCGCATCCAGTGGATTGGAAAATACGGTTATTGACGGACAGTAAGTAAATAAGTTCAATTTCGGTAATTGAATCTCAAATGTATTGCAAGTACTGTATGGATAAAAAGCCTGTCATGAAAACATTGACTAAGTCTACTGTTAATGTCCGATTAGTGTTATTCCATACGGGGTTTACAGCTGCTGCTGATTAGTGAAGGTAGTCATATAGATATCGACTAGAAATTTTAGGCCCAGTTTATGCAGTCTCAAAATTCCATGCACTGGTTATCTGTCGTCTATCGTCGACCTGTTTGATCGACTAATAATGAAAGCAGTGAGACTAAACGTAAATCTGAAAGCAATCCTGATATTATACCAATGTGGTATGCGTGTCAACTGTAGACATGCGCAGAAAATGAATGAATGTATGATGATTACCATTTACCACACGCGACCATATCAATCCGTGTTGCGACCGATTGATTAGACTAATCCAAAGATCTATAACCACAAACACTAACTCAATCTGTGTGACTAAGACACCTGATGGAGGCTGGCTCTATACCGTCATGTCAGACCACAGTTTGACCACTCTTCCAATTGTTATCCATTTTTGCAATCACCGGGCACAAACGAGGCCTATCCACACTCATGGGGGTCAAACACTTAGGTTGGTGCGAAACTGCAGTTAATTATACTGCCGCCCAACATCTCCAATAGTTGTTTAGTTGGCTAAACAGACGGTTGCACGGCGGTGTAAACAACCGAGTTCGAACATCAATGACCCGCGTTTTTATCACCTTAATGATCATGTCTTATAAATATGTTTGAACTGGCTTGACTGCTGCAGCATGCACTACGCTCTTAGCGGGGAGATGTTGCGCTTGAAACTGGCAATTGTCAACCAGCGTTTTGCAGTGAAGTTTGTCGACCATTTCTATTATTGTGTTATATTGTGTATAACTTTTGCAAGAACTGGAGCTCACATTTCAGTTAAAAAGCATACACGCT